TATATATATGTCTTATTTTACAAAACGTTACATCTAATTCAGTTTAATAAAGACTTTAATGACTATCAGGAATGAACTTAAACAACAAGAAACATTCATGTTAAAGTTTAAAGTCTTCTTTCTGCAGAAAGACGGATTTAAAACAGCGTGTTGCAGTAAACTTATAACGAGTTATATATCGTTGATTTAAAACAATCAGAACAGATGAAAAGGCCTCAGAAGAATTAAAACAAACAGATCCGTGTTCCTTCAGGTTGTCTTCACTGAATTCACCCATCCAGGGTTTGAACCTGCTGTTTGGGTTAGAAACCAGGAGGTGAATTCATATTAGGGCCTCCTGCAGTGAAACATATTTAAAGAGCTTTAAAACTTCAGTAGAGCTTTAATCTCCTACGTAGCATTTAAAAGTCTTAAATTTTGTCAAGGTTCAGGTTTTAGGATTCAGAATCAGCCAGACAACAAGAGTAAAGTAGTAGCGGGGCAGGATGATGTCACTGTCACAGAGTGAGATGCAGTTGCAAGGCAGACCTGAGGAGAATTTGGTCAGATGGGGGAAATCCGTGAACAAGGTCCAGAAACACTGGTGGGGGTCATACATAGGTAGTCAGAGTTCCAATCATAAATCCCCAAAAGGTTAATCCATGCATCGTAGACGAAGAGTCAGAAGAGGAGGTTGTTACCATGATCAGAAGGACGATATAGGTACAGGCAAGGAGCAGAAAGGTCTATAATCCAAAAAACAGGCGTGAAGTCGAGACGAGATGATCCAAACAAGACGTGAGCAAGAACAGGAATGGCTGGATATCAGGGACCATGAGAGGTATAATAATCTGGCGGTGGGGAGTGGTGCGGTTAATAAGCGCTGATGATAAGCGGGTGAAGAGTGGGCGTGACAGATGACAGAGGATGTGATCATGGCATGAAGAGGCAGAGACATGAACAGATGGGGAGCATGCAGAGACTGCTGATCATGACAAATTTAACTTAAATAAGCTGCAGCTGTCCTGAGAGATGAACATATTTTCTACTTGATGTGTAAAATCTGGACAGGAGTTTGTTTCATGAGGAGACATTTCAAAAGGAGCAGAAACTGCATTCTCCATTTGTTCAGAACATGATGTCCCTCCCTGTCTGAGTCCTTAGATCAGCAGGAAATCCACAGGGTTCGGTCTGAGAACACCTTCTGAGTTGTGTCCACCAGCTTGAAGACTCATTTCTGCTCCGGTTTTTGGAGGCTCCCTGGTTTTCTCTTTAGTTTTTGAGTGAAGACTGCTGGGCTCAGCAGGAGCTGGTCTCTGCTCCGAGGCTCCGCCGGGTCTCATGGTTCTGCTACAGATGGAGGCCTGTTGTTGAAACATCTCAGCTGATTAGTAATTACAAACTCCTGTTTGTGTGTGAGGAGGTCTGACAGTTAATTTTGAGGAACACTTCAGCCTTTCTTTAGAACCACAAGCTGATAGAGAGCAGATCTTTGAGCCTCATGACTTTAGTGTCATCGTTAATCATCAGAACAGTTTAGATGTTTGGTCAGGATTTGTAAATACATTAAAGTTCTTAAACACTTTGGAACAAACAAACATGGAACTTCCTGAAGTCTGGTTTGTTCTCATGTTGCTCTCAAAGAATTTAACACACACACACACACACACACACACACACAGTGGTGGTCTGTTGTTGTTCTTCTTCTTCTTATTATTATTATTATTCTTTTACCTCTTCAGGGGACTCTAGAGCAAGTCATCCTCCTCCACCTCACTCAAACTACCTCCATGTCCTAATTCGTATATCTTCTCTTTGGCCTTCCTCTGTCTTTTTTCAGGCAGCTGCATTTCTAACATCCTTCTACCAGTATACCCACTGTCCCTCCTCTGGACATGTCCAAACCATCTCAGTCTGGTCTCTCTAACTTTATCTCCCAGTTGTTCAACCTGTGCTGTACCTCTGATGATCTCATTCCTAATCTTATCTCTCTTTTTCACTTTTTTACCAGATGCTCTATTTTCCTGGACAGTGGATCCCAAGTACTTGGAAGTCCTGCACTTTTGTGACCTCTGCTCCTTGTAACCTCTCTGTTCCACCAGCCTCCCTCTCATTAATAAACATGTATTCTGTCTTACTACGGCTGACTTTCATTCCTCTTCTTTCAAGTGCATACCTCCACCTCTCCATGTTTTCTTCCATCTGTTCCCTGTTCCCACCACAGATCGCAATGTCATCTGCAAACATCATAGTCCACGGGGATTCCTGCATGACCTCATGTGTTAGTCGTCCATCACCAGATCAAACAAGAAGGGGTTCAGAGCTGATCCTTGATGCACTCCCACCTCCACCTTGAAGCTATCTGTCACCCCTACAACACATCTCACCCCTGTCCTGCTGTTCTCGTACATGTCCTGTACCAGTCTAACATGTCCTGCTGTCCTCATACATGTCCTGCATCAGTCTATCAGTACTTCATCAGCATCCTCAAAGCAAAGATGGCATCTGTGGTGCTCTTTCTTGGCATGAAACCATGCTGCTGCTCACAAATAGTCACCTCTCATCTAAGTATAGCTTCCACAACTCTCTCCCAGATCTTCAATGTGTGACTTTTTTCCTCTTTTTCTTTAGGCTTTTCCTCTTCCTCTACATAGGATGTAGTCTACCTGCCTACTCCTGCCTCCTTTTATAGGTCATTCTATGTTCCTCTCTCTTTTGGAAATAATTGTTGACTATATTCATTTTCATTCTCTTGGCAAAATCTACCACCATCTGTCCATCCTGGTTTCTTTTCTTGACACCAAACATACCCATCACTTCCTCATCCCCTCTGTTTCCTTCACCAACATGTCCATTCAGGTCTGCTCCGATCACCTCTCTCTCCTCCCTGTGAATACTCTCTATCACTTCATCCAGATTTTAAAAAATGTATCTTTTGCTTCCACATCACATCCAACCTGTGGAGCATATCCACTGACAACATTTAGCATCAGACCTTCTACTTCTACCTTCAGACACATCACCCTATCTGACACTCTCTTCACCTCTACTACATTCTTTGCCAACTCCTCCTTCAGGACCACAACTACTCCATTTCTCTTTCTATCCACACCATGGTAAAACAGTTTAAACCCTACTCCAATGCTGTGAGCCTTGCTGCCCTTCCCCTTGGTCTCTTGAACACATAAAACATCTACCTTTCTTCTCAGCATCATGTCAGCCAGCTCTCTACCTTTGCCTGTCATTGTCCCCACATTTAGAGTTGTCATCCTCAGTCCTACATTCTTGACCTTTCTCTTCTTTTTTTGTCTCCTGACACGTTTCCTTCAGTACCACCCGAGTGGTGGTCTGTTGTTGTCCAAAAACACCTGATGGACCCCAGGAGAAATCATGGTTTTGTAATTTTTGTGTACAAAAGGAATGTTCCACCCTGACAGCCGTTGGTCAAAAGGATAATGGTAACTTTAAACTTAGGTCTCTTTTTGGTCGCTCATTCAAAAAGGTTCAGATCCATCCCATAATCTGCACGCTGAGCATGACTGGTTCCCATCAGCTTGAGGGTTTAAAGTTATGTGATGAAACTTAATTAATTTAGTTTCTTTGGTCCCACATCACTTTTTTTTTTTTTTTTTACAGAGGCCCCGAAAAATATCATACTGCAGGGTGATACTCAAGGTTGTTTTTATTTATTCTAAATATTTTCACATTTAAAAAAATATATTTTTTAAATATCTATCTGTATTTGAGGGTGGCACGGTGACTCAGGTGGTAGAACTGTTGCCTTTTAGTGCAAAGGTTGCCAGTTCAAATCCCAGCCAGGGGCCTTTCTGGATGGAGTTTGCATGTTCTCTCCGTGCATGCGTGGGTTTTCTCTGGGTACTCCAGTTTCCTCCCACAGACCAAAAACATGCATGTTAGGATGATTGGTAACTCTAAATTGTCTCTAGGTTTGAGTGAGAGAGTGAATGGTTGTTTGTCCCATTTGTCTCTATGATGAACTGGAGACTTGTCCAGGGTATCCTCTGCCTCTTGCACAGCGATAGCTGGACATGGGCACCACTGACCCCCACGTCCCTAAAAGGAAGAAATGAGTAAAGATAATGGATGGAGTTCTGTACTTGGAACTAGAGATGGGATTTATGGCTCTTATAAGGGAGCCAGATTTTGTGAATCAGTTTGTTTCAAAGAGACGTTAAAGTTTGAACATTGAGTGACATCACTACATGTTATGTCACTACTATAGTGACATCATATTGAGTGTTTGACCCACAGTGTCAGCTCTGCAGGGTTATGGGGATACGTATGTGTTGTAAGTGCATCGGCGCAAAGGGTGGGGTACACTTTGGTGGAAGTACGAATTGACCATGAAGGATTGGGCTCAGGCTACATGTAGCTACCAGCATGGCTACCAAAGACTCCACCACTTCTACATGACACATGGAGGTTTTATTGGCTGCATGTAGCCTGAACCCATTCCTGGTCCTCTTTTTGTTTGCTTTGTTCTGCAGCTATGCAGTGGTGTGGCACCACATACCCATTCTCTAAGCCTGGGCTGCCCATACGTGTTCTGCTGG